CTCCCTTTCCCCTAATTTGATTTTGAGTTCTATTTAAATATGAGCACGATAGGATTAATTACCAAGACTCTCTATTATGAAAATAATTCAAATAATTAATTTGAATTATTTTTACCATAATAATTTCAAATCATTTCACTAGATATACGTAATTGAACCCTTTCATTTATATTTCAAAATTCTCCATTAAACACTTTTATAATTCCCCATTTTAAGATTAAAAATGCTAATCAATACATTTAAGCTCAAGATTTTTATCCTAAAGTTAAGAGAATGTAACTTGGGAATTTTATCCTAAAGTTAAACTAATTATTTAATTAGAGTTGTGTGTTGATAAGATGTTATAAAATGTTATTTTCTTCATTTAAATTTGTTTGATTTATTTTAATTTCATATAATATTTAAACAAATAAAGAATTTTTTTGAATTTTCAGTGGTCGTAAATTAAAAATATCTTAAATATATTAAAATGTCATCTAATTTTAGGGTGAAAAGTTAAAATTAGAGAGTTAGTTACTAAAAATGTAAAGAAATAAACTTTTTTGTATGGACTAAAAATGAAAATATGGAAAAATAAACTAAAAATGAGTAGTATAAATTAAAGGCTAAATGGCCTGTTGAACCCTTGTACTTGTATCAGATTGTAAATTGGACCCTTCTACTTACGATTTTGTCAAGTGAACACTTAAACTCAATAAAATACAATATTTTAAACCCTTTTTTCATTTGAGCAAGATGCGTGCAATACAACCAAATTACACCTGAAATCCATGTCATTTTTAATGACACGTCAAACATTAAAAGATAAATAATAGTAAAAAAAAGTTATTTCTTTTCCTCTCTTAGGTCACCCCCAGCCGCCGTCTCCATCTTTCTTACCCAGAAACTTTCTGAAGCACAAAAATTCAAAATTCACCAGCAACTATGATAGCTTGAGAATTGGGTGTTCCCGTTTGGCAATTTTCTAGAAAAGACAGATTCCTCCTCTTGACCCAATTGCTCTGTATTCTCCTTTGTATGACCCAATGCTTGCAAAGCGATCCATGATTTTTTCTTCCCAGAGCACTCCAAAATTCAACTCAAGCTACGAGATCGAGTTATTCGACTTAGTCGTCTCGATCTGAAGTCGAGTATCAAATTTCTCGATTCAGTCTGTATAGTCTTGTGATTTGAGCTTTCAATTTTAGAGAGAAGTTTTCAATTTAAATCTTCAAATTAAAAGCTCAAATCATGTAACCCGTTTTTTATTTGAAAACAAATAAATCAGCACAAAGAACTATTCAAACAAAAATTGAATTTGAGCATTTGTTTCTTTTTTATTTCATAATAATCCATTTATGATTTGAGCTTTCTTTTCAATCTGTATGTTTGTTGTGGGATGTTTGAAGGATAAGTACTTTCTTTTAAAATGGATGAGATTACAAAAAAAAAATGGTGGAAATTATGGGCGGCTGTGACCTAATTTTTTCCCACAGAATAAGAGAAGACGAAGGGGATATTTTGGTTTTTCCTTTTTCTAATTTTTTTTCTGATTATTTGTGTAATTTCAATGAAAAGTCACGCTCTTAATCAGTGTGTATCTCACGGATTTTTCCAACTCAATAATTTTATTGCCGCATAAATTTGGTCAATGGTCAAAGGTATTTAAAATATTGTGTTTTATTGAGTTTAAGTGTTCATTTGACAAAATTGTAAGTAGAAGGGTCCAGTTTACAATCCGACACAAGTACAAGGGTCTACCAGACCTTTTTGCCTAAATTAAAAGCAACTTAAGAGAAATATTTCGAGAAAATGATCAAAATGATCCTTGATGTATTGGGGTTGCTTTATTTTGGTCTTTAATATATTTTAGGTGATTGAAATAGTCTTTCATGTATGACAAAATGTGTTCAATTTAGTCTTTTACCCTAAACTTAACATTTTACCCCCAAAAACTGTTAGATATAACGGTGGGGCCTCCATAACTTACAAAATCCACCATTTTTACCAATTTTTTTAGCTCAAAGAAAGAGTTTCATGAATTTTAAAACACAATTTTCTCTAATATCTAACCACACAATTACAAAATTATTTTGTAATTGTCCTCAGTGGTGGAACAACAATGTTTCTTGGTATTGCTAATCGTATGAACAAGGAAATTACCGCTCTTGCTCCCAGCAGCATGAAAATCAAGGTTGTGGCGCCTCCTGAATGGAAGTACAATGTCTGGATTGGAGGGTCTATCTTAGCTTCTCTCAGCACCTTCCAACAGATAATACATAACATAACATGTGTAGCTCACACTATTACAATAATTATGTGGTTAGATGTTAGAGAAAATGATGTTTAAGAATTCATGAAACTCTTTTTTTGAGCTAATAAAAATGGTAAAAATAGTGGATTTTATAAGTTATGTGGGCCCCATCGTTATATTTAACAATTTTTGGGGTAAATGGTTAAGTTTAGGGTAAACGAATAAATTGAACATATTTTGTCATACATAAAAAACTATTTCAATCACCTAAAATGTATTAAGGACCAAAATAAAGCAACCCCAATATATTAAAATTATTTTGATCATTTTCTCAAAATATATCTCTTCTGCTTGGGTAACTCAAAGGAAGAGTAATTAGCCGAAAACTTACGATCAAGAAACAAAGAAGAAGAAGAAGCTAATTTCCTCTGAAAAAGTAAGTTTGTCGATCGTATTCCCTTTCGTTTTTCACTAATTTTATTTTGGTGTTGAAATTAGTTGTTAGCCAATTTTGGGTGTTGTGATTAAAGCTTGAAAATCTTGGATTAGATGATTGATTTTAATTTGATTATAGTTGCGGCTTCATAATTTCCTCTGAAAATGTAAGTTTTATCCATAGTTTTTCGCTTTGATTTTCTATCATTTCTTTCTCTCATCATTTTCACTGATTTGAAATAAATTGGGTTTATAGTTTGGATGTTGTGATTAAAGCTTATTTTTGTATGAATCTTGGATTTTCTTCGATTACCTGACTGATTTTAATTAGATTATAGTTGTGGCTTCATAAGCTTAAAGCTTAAAATCCATCGTTTTCTCTTTCGTTTCTTTGAGTAATTTCATTTTAACAAGTGTTCATCAATTCCGGGGGTGGCTATTGGCCTTTTAAAATGAGGCATATGTCTTAGCCCCAAAATCGTAAAGCCTAATTTTTTAGTAATAAAAAAATTATTATAAGACTTTTTTAACAAAAAAAATATATACTATATTTGTCGTTTTTTTAGTTTGAAACATTAAAGAATGTTTCTTTTTTATGGATCAATTTTTAAATTTAACTTTTATATGATATGTTTAAGATCACAAGATTAAAAAAAAATTGATATATATAGTTTAAGCCATAAAAAAATAAAACTTTTTTTATTAAAAAAATAATAAATAACTTGAATTTCAGATATAAAAAAAAAATTAAAATTTAGGCCTCCAATTTATTTTTGACTTTAGGCTTCTATTTAGCTTGAGCAGCCACTGATAAATTCTTGGCTTAGGTGGCTAATTTGACCATGTGAAGAGATTTTTCTTTTGAGTCCCTTTTTATGTTTTACCGGTAAATTATTCGTTTACTTGTCGTTTTGGTTCATGAATTCTTGGAACACTAATTTTATTCATTTTTTTGACAATGTGATTTTGTTGGAGATACTTGTTTTTTGTTTTCATCATTGTTTATGTTTTACAGACAAATGATGATGGATCAAGAGAAGGATGTACCCAGCAATCTTCCTGATGATGTAATTGATGAGATTCTTACTTTTCGAGATGCGTTCTGCACAAGTTTTTTGTCCAGGGATGGACAACACATTGGTGTAGAACTCCATACCTGACGCTTCATTCGTGGAAACCTCAGATCCTTAGAGCCGCTATCCAAGAAATTATCACCCGCCATGATGGATCAATTACAAAGTTTACCCTTTGCATACAGTATTCGGAAAGCTACCCTTGTATTAGCAGATTATTACATTTCCTCTCTCGAGACTACCATTCAACATCTTGTTCTTAGACTTTCCAAACAATTCGATTTGCCTTGTTCATTTTTCAAATGTTTGACTTTAACTCATCTGTTTCCCCAAAACTGTTTATTACTTCCTCCACCAAACTTCCAAGGATTTGTTAGTTTAATTAGCCTAGATCTGTGCTTGAAAGTTTCATCTCTCATTGCCCGTCGCTTGAGCAATTGGTGCTAATGATCTCAGATACGTTCAGCGACATCATTGAAATTCAAGGGTGATATCGCAACTATCTGCTTGAAAATGTGTCCCTCGTTTGGCAGAGCTTTCTCTCCAGCATTATCGTAAGGACTGGAAAAAGCGTCTTGGATTACGTGGTAAATGTTGCTTAATAACTCATTCTATTGCATTTTGGCCTTGGAGTCATCCTGATTTTTGGCTTGTTTTTCCTAGGTCCTTTCTACAGGCCAATAAAGCTTCCCGTTGATATGTTGTGTGTGAAAAGTGTTTGCATGTGTATTCGTCTTGACACGAATGGGATTTTGTCTGCTCTTTGCTTGATAAGAAGCTTCCCATTTTTACAATATCTGGAAATTCAGGTTCTCTTTTTATTTCTCTTTTCTTCTTTTTATACTCAAATCATCAAATAAGGTTACGTAGTTGAGTTTTGATGTCTTTCTTAGATGAAGCTCAATGTTGATCACACTACGCCAGTTCTAGATTGTCTTGAAGTGGAAGCTTTTCAGAATGTGGAATTCCAACACCTAACAGTAGTTAAGCTAAAAGATGTTAATGACAGTATGCAGGAGATGCAAATTATCAAGCTTCTGTTAGCCAAGTCTCCGAAGTTGGTGAGAATGTCAATCAATCTCCAGATTCTCTTGGAAGAATCTCGAATACTAAGTAGAATTGTTGAATTTAAGCGTGCATCACGTAAAGCAAAAGTTGTCTTTATACATGTTTGATGAGAGACGATGATGTTTGGGTAAAACTTTGATTTTGTATTTGAAGATAAAAAGATAGAGATGAATGTTGATGCAGTAGAAGTCGTGTTGCCCAATTGCCATTATATTGAGAAAGAAACACTAGCCAGTCTGGATCATGGTTTCTTTAAATTTGTTTCAGTGAGCTAGTAAAAAGATTGGGGTTGCATCTTTAAAGCCTAGTGAAATTGCAAAAAGAGAATTGATGGAATTTATACCACTCAAACATCTCTTTTGCCTCCCAAACGCAAGGCCATATTAGGATGTCCAAGTGATGAGATTCACTCTAGTTAACATTTGAAAACAAGCCAACTACTACTACTTTTTCTTTTATTCCTAACCATGGATCAACTTGGATCATCCATCCTAACTTCACCCAAAAAACCTGCTAATAGCCCCAGTAATCATTTCGAATTTCATCATCAAACTTCTTCTTCAGCTCAGGATGCTTCTCAAAGTATTCTTCAGCTGTCATTGTACTAAGTTTTTTCTGTTCGTAAAAACAAACCCACACAGTTAGATAAAAGGATAACTGATAAGAATACATATATATACATGGAGAAATAAGGTGATATGAAGACCTTCAACTCTTGCACGTCTACAACTTCTTTTTCTAATCTTTCAGATTCCTTCAGAGATTTCTGCTCCGCTTCTTTCAGCTCCACCAACTACAATTATTGTAACAATTAGAAAGAATAAACCAAAAAATATGCAAATTTGGCCATGCTATTCTTGTGTTAATCGAAACTTCTGAAAAGAAGGTACACAAAGGGGGTAATGATTTGGCATTATCTTCGAATCGCCATTGACATGTCAATTTGGGTTCAAGCAGGTACATATTGTAACTGGTATTCTAACAATTCCACTGACAACAAAGGAGAGTATCTCAACTTTATTTCTGTTAGGGAAAATAATTTTTGATAAAATGATTCAATTGAAATATGTACTTCATGTATTTTTTTGTTTAATCATTTTCATTTTGCTCCGATAAATTTTACCTATTTTTATGCCAAAAGGTGAATTCCTTTCTGTGGCAACAACACTAAAACACAAGGACAGTTTGTAGGATTTGAGCAATTGAGAATTCCCTATATCAATTTTCAACTAATTATTATAGCTATGACTATACCAATAACAAGTAGGTAGAAAAAAAACAAAACTCATGCAAAGAAAGGTAAGGATGGCGATTATTGTTTTTCCACTTACCAAGGCGTCAAATTTGGGTTTATATTGAGGAGTCACCGTATCCACAAACTTGGGGATCTCAATGCCTGAAAGAAATATTGTTAAGAATCTACACAAGACAGTTGAAACAGTTGCAAAAAGCCAACAAACATCACTGGCGTTTGAAATATATACATGGTGTGAGCTAGCTCTGTTACTCCGATAGTGGCAGAGCCTTGTATAGCTAAAATACGAGACGCACAGACTTCAAAATGAAATTTCAACTGACCTATGAGACCAGTAGTTCTATTCAAACTTAGTGCAACCGTTGAACCTTTTACTTATTCAGTGAAAATATGGCGGGAATTTGAGCAGCAAATCAAGAGTAATAGAGGACTATGTTGAAAAATGTTTAGAAGTTGCACTCAGCAAATTCTAAGTCGATATTTACTTTTAAAATTATAATAAGCTAGGTAAGTGAAGAAATTAGTGTAAGATATGAGTATTATTTCAGATATGATGAATTGACATCAATTGTTGCCGCAAGACAACAGGAAACTTTGTCTATCCACAATAAGGTGTTACTAATCAAGCACATCATAAACAGAAAAGATATCTAGCAAGAATTTTGATTAAGAGGCAGGAGAAGAGGAGAATGCAAATTGCAATTGACTGTTCTCTACTTCCAGTCTAAACTAGGGGTAACTTTAAGGCACTTAATGAGTCAGCGCACAGACTCATTCCACATACAAGTATATGAACGCTTTCTTCCAGCTAAAAATTCCGTGAAACTGGTCAAACACCAGAAATAATGAAAGAATTTCCCTCTGAGAAGTAGATCAAACATAAGAATTTCCCATTGCAAAACATTAGCTTGACAGAAGATTGTGCTGCTACGTTATTTTGCAAGCTGTAAACTCAACCATTTTTCAAAGAACCTAAGAATCAATTTCCCAGAGTGAAAAAGGTCCCACGCTTATCTTGTGAAGGAACTTCTCATCAACAAGGAGACCAGCATTATTAACTCCAACAGACTTTTTTGGGCATCACAAATATTTGAAGATAATCGCTTAAAACCTTATCCAAGAGCTCTTGCAAATGCTAGCTTAGTGGCATATAACTTTAAAGAATTTATTTATTCTTAATGAGATGATTTATAGTCACCACACAAACACACTCACAACTAAACGACGATTTGCCCTTAAGAAAGTTGTCACTCTTATGTATAATTAGGCATCCCCAGAGCCATTTCATACATTTTTTTCAGTTCTTAATTATGCCCAGCTCAAGCTCATACAGTATAGTGACTCCACCGACGACCAACTCATGCACTAATAAAACCAGAATTTTCTATTATCTTTGCAAAGAGTATAAAGACGGACAGAATCCATTTCTCACAAAGTTGGCACTGTATCCTTAGATAAAGCATCTTGCAGACTTGACAATAAGAGAGACAGATAGATAAATTTTCTCGAAACTCGACTCCAAGTTCAATAGATAGCTACTTGTAGAAGACAACTTCTTGCAATGTGGCTGAAGACACAAACTTAGGCCAGGTTCATTTGAAATGTTCATCAATCAAACAATAAATGATTTGTCTAAAACTACATATTTGATGCAAAACAAGCTCGATAGAGAAGCATTTCATCCCCAATCAAGACCATGCATGTAGTAATTGCTACTACCTCTATCCCAATGTTATGTGATGGTATTTGATTAGGCAGAGAGTTCAAGAAAGACAGACATACTTACAGAACTTGTGGTCTAAAATATTTCCTCAGACATTTTTGTGGTATAAATAATTTTGTTAGAGGTATAATGGGAAGTGTAAGTAAATTATTTTTTAGATACAGAAATGTGTTATTCGTTTACTAAAATGAAGTGTGTGACATAAATGGGACAGGAGTACAATAAAGTCCAACAATCTCAGGCAGAGCCACAGAGACATTGTTCAAAAAGTGATCTCAAGGAAAGGATTCAGAAAATATGAAAGTCAAAAATTTCAGATATTTTAAACTGAATTAGGGCGGTACATATTGTACATCCAATGTGCATATTACAGTAGATGCATCGACTGATAAATATCTCACTCAGGCACATGGAACTCATGAATTAAGCCACTAACAAAATGAAACTCACACATTTTTTGAAGGAAGGTAACTGTACTTCATGAAATAAGCCACTAAAAATGTGAAGAAAGCTTCAGACTTTTCACATTTAATCACACAGTTCACCTACATAGAAAACTATATCACGAAATCCTACACCTGAGAAATCTTACAAGGACCACTACTCTGCTTAGTAGTTTTGTAGTTTTATGGCCAAGAGTTTGAAGTCAAATTCTGAGACCCAAGAGATGTAAAATTCAAGGTACTACAAGATAAATAACATTAAAGGTACCACGAGAGCATGCTAATAAAGTAAAAAAAAAAATATTCCAAACAGAAAAAGAAAATCTGAAACTGCACATACTGTCATAGGCCTCTTTGTACATGTCTACCAAGCGAGAACCGATTCCTTTTCTGTAATACTCCCAGTTGATAGGTTCAGGTTCCTGCTTGATATAGAAGCGAAGAACACTCTAGTGTTAGAGCCTCTAAATTTATAATCCAAATAGAGAAAACTACCTATCTGAAAAAACTTACAAAACAAGTGATTAATCGGTAACACTACACTACTCCATGAATTATCCATGGTTAGCGAATTTTTCTAGTTGTTTTGAAAACTCACAAGTGCCATTTGGTTAAAAACAGACCTCAATAGGGACAGAGACTTAAGAGTCACTTCACAAATGTAAATACCATTAAATTTATGCGATAACTCTTCCGATACGAATTAAAAGTTGAGTAGTTCTTTTTAGTGAAAATTTTAATAGGTATCAAAATACAAAATTTGATAAATGACAAACCCGCTCATTGCTATCTTTTTTAACAAAAGTAAATGTGTCAATGTGCATCTGAGACTTGGTAACAAGGGTACTTCCCTATACAAGAAACCCGCAAAAGTACAGGCCAGCAATGATAGCATTTACTAAAATAATTCAATCAAAAGCTTTTCGCAAAGAACATTGTGTTTACTTAAGAAGCAGTTGAATCTCTATTGCTTTTGGTTCAGGTCATGGAGGGCAACCTGATTATTTATGATGAAGAGGATGCGTTTCTAGTGAATAATCTAGAGTTCTCGCATGGTCCCTCCAAAACCAGGTTCCTCAAGAACCATGATGTGAATGTTGAACATTGCATTTTCTATCCAAATGACTCTTGTATAATTCTCTAAAGTTTAACCATAACAATTTAGAAATGCTAGTAAAGGTTTCCACATTATCCAACATGTCTTCCTTTACAAAAAAATAAAAGGAGAGAGAAGAGGCACCTGCAGTTCTTTCAGTTACAGATTTCAGAGCCCGTTTGGATTGACTTAAAAAAAGTAACTTTTAAAAAGTAATTTTTTAGAGTGCTGAAACTTATTTTTAAAATAAGTAGTTGTGTGTTTGGATAAAAGTGCTGCAGTTGAAAAAAAAGTTGTTGATGTGTTTGGCAAATAAGTGCTGGTAAACACTTTTTTTTATCAAAATGTCTGAAATACCCTTTAAGCTGTTAACATGATAAAAAGTTGATTAATTTAAGGTTTTTTTTTATACTTAAAAAATAAATTAAAACAAAATTAATTTATGTTTTACATCCATAAGTAATAATATTTTTCTATCATTCACATATTTCTTTACCACCTTATAAGAGGAATATAGAAATAATAATAATAATAATAATAATAATAATAATAATAATAATAATAATAATAGTAATAATAATAAAATAATAATAATAATAATAAAATAATAATAGTAATAGTAATAGTAATAATAATAATAATAATAATATAATAATAATAATAATAATATAATAATAATAATAGTAATAGTAATAATAATAATAATAATAATAATAATAGTAATAGTAATAATAATAATAATAATAATAATAATAATAATAATAATAATAGTAATAGTAATAGTAATAATAATTATTATAATAATAATACACATAATAATAATAATAATAATAATAATAGTAATAGTAATAATAATAATAATATTTATTATTATTATAATTATAATTATTATTATAATAATAATAATAAAATAATAATAATAATAATAATAGTAATAGTAATAGTAATAATAATAATTATAATAATAATACACATAATAATAATAATAATAATAATATAATAATAATAATAATAATTATAATTATTATTATTATAATAATAATAAACATAATAATAATAATAATAGTAACAGTAATAATAATAATAATAATAATAATAATAATAATAATAGTAATAGTAATAGTAATAGTAATAGTAATAATAATAATAATAATAATAATAATAATAATAGTAATAGTAATAGTAATAGTAATAGTAATAATAATAATAATAATAATAATAATTATAATTATAATTATAATTATAATTATAATTATTATAATAATAATAATACGAATATAATAATAATAATAATAATATAATAATAATAATAATAATATAATAATAATTATTATTATAATTATAATTATAATTATTATAATAATAATAATAATAAGAATATAATAATAATAATAATAATAATAATATAATAATAATAATAATAATAATAATAATAATAATAATTCAATATGGGCAATTTGGAAATTGTATAAAAGAATTAAGGGCAAAAAGGTAATATACTTGGTCAACATAAAAGTGCTTTTAAGTTAAAAAAAAAAAAGCTCCCCCCCCCCCTAGCTTTTAGCTTTTGGCTTAAAATAAGTCATTTTTGACTTAAAATAAGTCATTTTGATAATTGCCAAACACTCTAATAAGTCAAAAACTGGCTTTTAAGCCAGTTTGACCAGCTTAAAAGCCCATCCAAACAGGCTCTCATTCCTTCAATTCTCGCTCATCTTCTCCTTATTTATTAGTTTTAGTTGGTATTCGCGTAGTATCCTTTTCTTCTACTTTTACTACTGCATTTGCATAGTTCAACTTGCTATTTTGTGGGACTAAATTGAGTTTGTTGTAGAAATAAGGGAATAACAAGTACACAGGCACAATACAAAAGAACCTATTAATGGTTTCTTCTGCCTTTTATATACAAATATAATAGTTAAAGAACCTATTAATGGTCTCTTGTTCCTTTATATACAAATATAATAGTTAAGGGATTTGTCCAAGAACCTATAGCATAAGCCTTTGGGGACAAATAGAAAGGATGCACATAAGCACCCAAGAATATGGCCTACAGGTAAATAAAGTAAGTTGAGAACCATGAGGTCTCAAGTTCAAACTCCAACAGAGGCTGTGATTTCTTCACATCAGTCGAAGCCTTAGTGCATAGAGGTTACCCAGTACCTGATTTATCATCTTCTCCTTTCTTTGTCATCTAATCAGTCAGCCATCAACTGATTGAAGAAAGTTTCCTTTTTTATTCAATGCCTTTTATTTTCTTTTGCAACTACAATTCCCCACACATCGCTATAATCACTCATCCAACAAATGCAAGAGTACAAATGGCAACGTTCACCACTCTTCAAATCATATTATAGAGATCATTCCTAATAAAACAATCATGTTAAATCAATTTTAATGGAAATCAGCCCCGTAAATTTTCTAGTTAAACATCCCAAAATCCAATAAAATCAATCCCAGCATAACAACTCAATCCTTCAACAAAAACTCCACCTTCTCCCCACCATTTCCCATAACCTGTTAATTGACATAAAAACATTCATACTTGACAAATATGAAACAGCTCATGCTTTAGTCAACCAAATTAGTAATTCACCAAATAATAGATCCAACAACGGCAGAATAGTAAAAGTAACAATCTAAATCTAGATCCATATACAGAAAATATCTATGAAAAAAAATGCAGATAGAGAGAAAGAGGAAACCTGGCTGAACTTGGTCTGAAGTTGGGAGTTGACATCATCGAAAGCGCGACGGAGATTGGAGAACTCCTTGCGAGCTTCATCGGTGACAAGAAGCTTGGCCATTCCTTCCCAATCAATATTCCTGCCGGCCTTGAAAGTCACGTCGGCGATCTTCTTCACTGAACCGCTCATTTTCTCGCAGTCTAAAAGTATTTGCAACAATGTCGCTTGTTATTTCTATACTATCGATCAAGCTTCAAAAAGAAAAAGAACGAGGCTCAGAGAAGCGAGAAAATAATCATTCGGCTGACCTATATGATGATTTACGAGGGCTTCGCACCTCTAGGATTTTTATCATTTTCCTTTATTTATTTATTTTTAAAATTTTTCTTTTCCGTTTACGTAGTTTTTTCTTGTCCGCTATATTAAAAAGAAGTAATTATTTTTATTAACTTAGTTTTGTTATAAAATCAATCTCAAGATAATTTAATTATAAAGAGAAAAAGGCAAAAAATGCAGATAAAAGAGAGAACTTCTCTTCTTATTCAGAGGTGTTGTCCAAATGGTGAATGATATCTCTATTTATAGTGTTGAGATATCATACCCAAAGGTCACCTTGTTAAAAGCCAAACTAGTAGATATATAGTTATCCACCAAGGTTCATATCACCTTGGAATTATACATACATGAATTCATCAATTAATTCTTGAAGTAATCAAATGGACAATCCACAATTCAATGGATTTATGACACTCCCCTTGGATGTCCATAGATAATGTGCCTCGATAAAATCTTACTAGAGAAAACTCAGCGGGAAAAAATTCTAGTGAAGGAAAAAGAGTACACATATCTTTTGATACGCATTATTTGTTGCCTCATTAAAAACCTTGTCAGGGAAACCCAGTGGGACAAAACCTCGGTCAAGGAAAAAAGAGTGCAACGCGTATTATACTCCTCCTGATTAAAACATCACTTAATTTCTTATGATGATGTCATCCAATCTTATATACCAACTTTTCAAATATTGACAGTGTCTTTGTGATCAAATCATATTCACGAAGATGTTACATGATTGAACTCATCTTGATATATCATTTTCTAGATTCATGGATATGATGAGGCTTTGAGTTTAGTCGAATACATTCTTGAAAATCACTATATTTGTGACCTCGTTGTTGCAAGTAAATTGTTCATTCAACTTGTTCATAGCAACAATAATCTTATGGACACTTTCATTTTTAGTTGACTATCTTGTAGAATAACTTTAAATAAATGTCTTTGATCCCATTTCAATGTCTTCTCATTGGGGAGAGGCAGAATCTTGTCAATAAATTCACTGCAGTATATTTGATCGTATATAGTAAGGTTGTACCGACCGGGTTTCGTCGTTATAGAAAAGCCAACGGGGAAAAATTTTGGGTCGGAAAACTTTTTCGTAGTAACTTGGGATTTTCCAACCTAGTCCAGATTTGGACGAAATCGGAGTCTAGGAGATCTAAGGAAATCTGGTAGCAATTGGGTGATCTAATTATGAATTTGATCACATGAGTAGATAGATAAGTCGTTAAGGAACTCGTACGACTTTACAGAATTGAATTCGGGTGAGTAGAACTCCCGAAATTGATCTTAGCGTAAACGGGTAGTTTCTAAGCCTCGTTGGTTGAAGGTGTGTTGTGAAATGGGGATATTGAAATTATTAAAATAGCTCATTGTTTTGTGCAAGCCGCTTTGGCGGTGATTTTGGTGGCCACTGCAGGGCCGCTGTAGCGGGGTGATGACCGTTGTGGCGGGCCAAACACGACTTAAAGTCGTAAATAAACCCCAAAAACTTTTTATTCTGCAATTTTTGAATTTGAGGGCTAAGGAACAAACTCAGGGCTTTTCTTAACAGTTTTCCACCGCTCTTGAGGATAAATGTAAGATTTTAACTCCCCGAATCCGTTTTTTGATCCGTAGAACGTACTCTAATAGGTAATTATCAATGGGGGAGGGTTTTGATCTAGAAACTATGATGGAAAAGGCCCTAATTGGGATACTTGGGATCATGGGTATGATCTAGGGTTGTTAGAATTGTTAGTAATCCAGGTTTTTGGTGATTGTTTATTGATTCCCGTATTATATTGATTGTTTGTAGACCAAGAACAAGCGAAAAGAATTCGGAAAGGGAAGGATCAAGTTTCTTAGGGTTTCAAGCTTGTTTCGAGGTAGGTGATGGTTGTGATTCTATGATTGTATGATGTATGTTGTCTTGTTTCATTATGATACATGTATGTATGTGGATATTGCATTATTGACCACACTTGTTGTAAATGTGGATATATGACACTACTTAAAAAATAGTGAATACCGACCTAAAAATTTCCGACCTCAAATGGAGGTCGGTAAATTCTGACCTACGGAGGTCGGTATTTACAAGTAGTCGGTTTTTATGCAAAATAAAGCGGGAATTTTTTTCGGAAAAAATGAATTACAATAAAAATCGACCTCTTGATGTCAGTATTAAACAAATAAATAAATAACAATATTTTATTTTTTCTCAATGTGTAAAAAAAATTATAATACCGACTTCCGTATGTCGGTAAAATTAAATAGTAAAAATAAATTAATATAAAATACCGACCTCATGAGGTCGGTATTTTTTATATTTAATTGAGAAAACAATAAAAATCGACCTCTTGATGTTAGTATTAAACAAATAAATAAATAATAATATTTTATTTTATTGTAATTCATTAAAAATTCCGACCTCCTGAGGTCGGAATTTTTTCTCAATTAAATATTTTATAATACCGAATTCCGAATGTCGGTAAAATTAAATAGTATGTAATTAAAATACCGACCTCATGAGGTCGGTATTTTTATTTCATCTAATTACTATTAATTAAAGCGACATCCGGAGGTCGGTATTTTTATTTCATCTAATTACTTTTAAAAGCGACATCCGGAGGTCGGTTTGCGGAAAGTGGGAAAACCAAATTCCGACCTCTGGA